AGCGGTTCTGACCACAGGGTACAACAACAGCGGTTCTGACCACAGGGTACAACAACAGTGGTTCTGACCACAGGGTACAACAACAGCGGTTCTGACAACAGCGGTTCTGACCACAGGGTACAACAACTGCGGTTCTGACCACAGGGTACAACAACAGTCGTTCTGACCACAGGGTACAACAACAGTGGTTCTGACCACAGGGTACAACAACAGCGGTTCTGACCACAGGGTACAACAACAGCCGTTCTGACCACAGGGTACAACAGCCGTTCTGACCACAGCGGTTCTGGTCACAGGGTACCATAACATGGGTCCTTACCTTAACAGCGGTTCTGACCACAGGGTACAACAGCGGTTCTGACCACAGGTACCATAACATCGGTCCTTACCTGAACAGTGGTTCTCACCACAGTGTACCATAACAGTGGTTCTGACCACAGGGTACCTTAACACTGGTTCTGACCACAGGGTACTACAGCGGTTCTGGTCACAGGGTACCATAACATGGGTCCTTACCTTAACAGCGGTTCTGACCACAGGGTACTGCAGCGGTTCTGACCACAGGTACCATAACATCGGTCCTTACCTGAACAGTGGTTCTCACCACAGTGTACCATAACAGTGGTTCTGACCACAGGGTACCTTAACACTGGTTCTGACCACAGGGTACTACAGCGGCTCTGGTCACAGGGTACCATAACATGGGTCCTTACCTTAACAGCGGTTCTGACCACAGGGTACTGCAGCGGTTCTGACCACAGGGTACCATAACAGCAGTATTTGAATGAATGAAACTCACACATACATCGGTGTGCTGCCTTATGACGATGTTGATGCTACACGACTTACTGCCATCTGTTTCATCCATCTCAAACAACACCACTCAATAACTCATGGACAGCGATAGACTGTTTCGTGATACAATTGTCTGGCTATAATACAACTGATCAAACAGCCTGGTGGCAGAAGCATTTCATTGGGATATTTTGTGTTTCATTCATACTTGTGGTTGACGACATTAGTACTGTCGGAAATAGAAAAAAACTGTTTTTTTACATATATCTTTAGGTAGGTAATATGTGAAAGTGTGAAATATCTGTTAAACTAAGTTCGGCCTAACTACAGTCTCAGTGGGAGGGAGATAGGAAATGTTAAAGAAGGATTTTACTGAGGAGAGATTAGTGCAGAAATGAGCAATGCGGTTTTTTTCAGTCTGAAGCGACTTATTTGGAGCAGACCATGGATTTATGCAAGTTAGTGTGCGATGATATTGTATAACAAATGACACTTTTTGAATATCCATTATGAAATTAGACTTAGTTTTATTATAAACTATAGCAGACGTAAAAAATAACAACTTTAATACTGAAACTATTAAGGAGATAGATACCATTGAGTCTCACTATCACTATAAAAAGAAACAGGTAGGAGGGGTCGTCTCAAAAGCAACTCCGAGACGGGTGTTGCTGACGGTAGTTGGGGTCGGGCTTGGGGATAGAGTCATAAGCTACGATTAGATAATCAATAGAGACATATTCAATACACATGAAGAAGCATAAAATATATCTGAGATGACCCCTTGTGTCTGTGGGCAGCACGTGCATTTCATGTCAAGTGAGTCGACGGTCCGTCGTCATACCTGGCTGAGCGACCTAATTGCCATCTATAGTCTGATCTATTGTTTTCAGCAGCTATTCGTATTTTTTCTAAGTTTTGCCCGATTTTACGAGTAAACATGCTTTTCTGGATATCCTATTACGCATCCCCTGAACGCCCAGTTGGGCCATATGGGTTATTTCGACATATGCTATTTGCAATTGTGTCAATTTTAGGGATACAGAGTAACAGCCTAAAACCAGGGTTTTTTCTATTTCCGACAGTACTTAGTCTAATACCACTGTTAGTGCTGTCCAGGACTCCAACAGACGCTGGCTAGATATAAAGTAGCTAGATATAGATAGGTGGTGTTGTGACGTCCAGGACGCCAACAGAGGATGGCTAGATATAGAGAGACGGGGTTGTGACGTCCAGGACTCCAACAGAGGCTGGCTAGATATAGAGAGGTTGGGTTGTGAAGTCCAGGATTCCGACAGACGCTGGCTAGATATAGAGAGGTGGGGTTGCGACGTCCAGGACTCCAACAGACGCTGGCTAGATATAGAGAGGTGGGGTTGTGACGTCCAGGACTCCAACAGAGGCTGGCTAGATATAGAGTGGTAAGATAAAGATAGGTGGGGTTGTGACGTCCAGGACGCCAACAGAGGAGGGTTAGATATAGAGAGCTGGGGTTGCGATGTCCAGAATTCCACCAGACGCTGGCTAGATATAGAGTGGATAGATAAAGAGAGGTGGTGTTGTGACGTCCAGGACGCCAACAGAGGATGGCTAGATATAGAGAGACGGGGTTGTGATATCCAGGAATCCAACAGCCGCTGGCTAGATATAGAGTGGCTAGATATAGATAGGTGGTGTTGTGACGTCCAGGACGCCAACAGAGGATGGCTAGATATAGAGAGACGGGGTTGTGATATCCAGGAATCCAACAGCCGCTGGCTAGATATAGAGTGGCTAGATATAGAGAGGTGGGGTTGTGATGTCAAGGATTCCAACAGACGCTGGCTAGATATAGAGTGGATAGATATAGAGAGGTGGGGATGTGATGTCTAGGACTCCAACAGACGGCGAGATATAGAGTGGCTAGATACAGAGAGGTGGGGATGTGATGTCTAGGACTCCAACAGACGCTGGCTAGATATAGAGTGGCTAGATATAGAAAGACGGGGTTGTCATGTCCAGGACTCTCCAACAGACTCTGGCTAGATGTAGAGAGGTGGGGTTGTCATGTCCAGGACTCCAACACACGCTGGCGATATATAGAGAGGCTAGATATAGAGAGACGGGGTTGTCATGTTCAGGACTCCAACAGACGCTGGCGATATAGAGAGAGGCTAGATATAGAGAGACGGGGTTGTCATGTCCAGGACTCCAACACACGCTGGCGATATATAGAGAGGCTAGATATAGAGAGACGGGGTTGTCATGTCCAGGACTCCAACAGACGCTGGCGATACAGAGAGAGGCTAGATATAGAGAGACGGGGTTGTCATGTCCAGGACTCCAACAGACGCTGGCGATATAGAGAGGCTAGATATAGAGAGACGGGGTTGTCATGTCCAGGACTCCAACAGACGCTGGCGATACAGAGAGAGGCTAGATGTAGAGAGACGGGGTTGTCATGTCCAGGACTCCAACAGACGCTGGCTAGATATAGAGAGGCTAGATATAGAGAGACGGGGTTGTCATGTCCAGGACTCCAACAGACGCTGGCTAGATATAGAGAGAGGCTAGATATAGAGAGACGGGGTTGTCATGTCCAGGACTCCAACAGACGCTGGCTAGATATAGAGAGGCTAGATATAGAGAGACGGGGTTGTCATGTCCAGAACTCCAACAGACGCTGGCTAGATATAGAGAGGGGGGTTGTGCTGGACTGTAGGGAGTTGGGAAAGTGATGTGGTGACACGACCTGAATATGTTTACATTGATCGTCTTATTCATTTAAATTCCAAGGATGGGCTTCAGGCAGTCCTACCGGTGACTGAGTACATTTGCACGTACCTGCTTATAAATATAGAAGGGTAACTTTGGACACATTTGTCCTGCTCAATTACATGTGCATAACTGTTAAAGAGTGAATAGAGTGATACAAGATTGAAAGGAGTGAATAGAGTGATACAAGAGTGAATAGAGTGATACAAGAGTGAATAGAGTGATACAAGAGTGAATAGAGTGATACAAGAGTGAACAGAGTGATACAAGAGTGAATGGAGTGATACAAGAGTGAATGGAGTGATACAAGAGTAACTAGAGTGATACAAGAGAGATACAAGAGTACATCGTGTGAAACAAGAGTGAATTGGTGTTACAAAAGTGAATCGAGTGATACAAGAATGAACAGAGTGATACTGGAGTGATACGAGAGTGAAACAATAGTGAATACAAGAATGAATGGAGGGTTACAAGAGTGAATAGAGTGATACAGGAGTGAATAGAGTGATACAAGAAAGATACAAGAGTGAATAGAGTGATAGAAGAGTGAACAGAGTGATACAAGAGTGAATAGAGTGATACAAGAGTGAATAGCGTGATACAAGAGTGAACAGAGTGATACAAGAGTGAACAGAGTGATACAAGAGTGAGCAGAGTGGTACAAGAGTGATACAAGGGTGCATAGAGTGATACAAGAGTGACACAAGGGTGCATAGAGTGATACAAGAGTGATACACGAGTGCATAGAGTGATACACGAGTGATACAAGAGTGAACAGAGCGATACAAGAGTGATACAAGAGTGAATAGGGTGATACAAGAGTGAAACAAGGGTGAATAAAATGATACAAGAGTGAATGGAGCAATACAAGAGTGATACAAGAGTGCATAGAGTGACACAAGAGTGAATATAATAATACTTCGGAACAACATCAGCACCCTAGAAGCCAACCGGTCAGATTACAAGATAAGAAAACTCTTAGAGGCAATCAACATCAAACGATTCAACCCAACAATCAACAGAGATCAAGGTTATTACATCCTTACGGCTTACGATCAACTAATCAAGCCTAATCAAGCCTAATCAAGAATAACCCACCCTTTGTCTACTGGCTTCAATCATTTCTATCACAACAAGTCTCATGTCAACACACCGTACGTCAACCTCTTCTATTGTATAAACCAATACCCGCCATGTATATATTTCTCCTTGTGCAAATGTTGTGCATCATTTGCTTGATAACGGTGTTAGGATCTACACCGAAACGTCGCAACTACTACTGCAACAAAGAAGTTCTCTATCCAAAAATGTGTTCCACTTTACCTTCAAACGGCAAATACCGTGGTCACAGCTAACCTTGGTCGTTGTTGACAGACTAGGTGACACAAGAAACAAACAAAGACATGTGAACCTGACCAGCGAGGATGGGAGAGACGCTCCTGTATACTCACTCCAGAAGGTTTTCCATTTGATGCATGAGAGCCACACGGATGACATAACCACGCTGATTGCTCACACAGTCGTAGCAGGGGCAGCGCGTGTCTACAGCAACAGCTTCGATCAACCGGTCGATGTCATTGGCTGGAACAGTAATGCACATCAGTCAGATCAGGAAAGGGAAGATAAGCAGAGTGGTCCTTATGAAGGAAATTATATGCTGCAGTCTTATAATGAGGGACAAGCATTGACGAAAATAGGCCCAACAGAAATGTCTTATCTCTGTATTGAATTTGGAACAAATCAATAAGTGCAGTACATTGAAGTGGAATAGGATAGCTAAGATATATGAAACTGATGACCACCTTAACATCAGGTTGCAGCGCCGGTTTGGTCTGTTGATCCTCACCAAAAGCCTGTCTGGCCCGCAGCCCCTATCAAGACCTGTTTGGTCTGTTGATCCCCACCTAAAGCCTGTCTGGTCCGCAGCCCCTATCAAGGCCTGTTTGGTCTGTTGATCCCCACCCTGTCTGGCCCGCAGTCCCTATCAAGGCCTGTTTGGTCTGTTGATCCCCACCCTGTCTGGCCCGCAGCCCCTATCAAGGCCTGTTTGGTCTGTTGATCCCCACCCTGTCTGGCCCGGAGCCCCTATCAAGGCCTGTTTGGTCTGTTGATCCCCACCCTGTCTGGCCCGCAGCCCCTATCAAGGCCTGTTTGGTCTGTTGATCCCCACCCTGTCTGGCCCGCAGCCCCTATCAAGGCCTGTTTGGTCTGTTGATCCCCACCTAAAGCCTGTCTGGCCCGCAGCCCCTATCAAGGCATGTTTGGTCTGTTGATCCCACCGTGTCTGGCCCGCAGCCCCTATCAAGGCCTGTTTGGTCTGTTGATCCCCACCTAAAGCCTGTCTGGCCCGCGACCCCTATCAAGGCCGGATTAGTCTGTTGATCCCCACCAAAAGCCTGTCTGGCCCGCAGCCTCTATCAAGGCCTGTTTGGTCTGTTGATCCCCACCTAAAGCCTGTCCCCGCAGCCCCTATCAAGGCCTGTTTGGTCTGTTGATCCCCACCTAAAGCCTGTATGGCCCGCAGCCCCTATCAAGGCCTGTTTGTTGATCTGTTGATGGCCCGCAGCCCCTATCAAGCCTGTTTGGTCTGTTGATCCCCACCTAAAGCCTGTCTGGCCCACAGCCCCTATCAGTGGCATGTTGACCCCCACCAAAACCTTTTCGGCTAGATGCCATCCTGATTGGAGAAGAGACCCTCTCTTTGGCACTAAGGAACCTGTTTGCTTACCTTGTTGTTTGGTAACGATGCCATTAGGATCACAGACAGCCGATTTGTTGTCACGGTTACACTGCTCTGGGAACCACCAAGGATCGGGGTATTGGTTCACGTGCCACACCCGGGTGTCGGAGGACCTATACTGGGGGGTTACACATGGCAGCAGAGCTACCATCACAGCCAGCACAACCGTCCACATTGTCACTTTTATGTATCCTCAGGTGCAATAACAACAGTCTCGTGATCTGTAGCTCTGTTCCTGAAATGTCAAACGAAACGCATTCAATACCTAAAGTATGTCATTGGTTATACATGGATGTTTCTTAGAACATAAACCACCGCCAAATTAGATGTAGGTAGACTAAGGTACATGTAGTTATTGGACCAGGTAAATATATGGGTAGGTAGGTAGATTTATGTTAATCATTGTTGAACTCACTTTTTTAAACGATATTGGCAGCAAAAACGACAGTTGCAATACAGGAAGATGTAAGTAAGGCAGATTAGACAGAGATAGGTATAGGCACAGGTAGGTATAGATACAAGCAGATTACACACAGATAGTTGTAGACACAAGCAGATTAGACAAATACTGCTGTAGATACAAGCAGATTACACACAGATAGCTGTAGATACAAGCAGATTAGACACAGATAGATGTAGATACAACTAGACTACACACAGATAGCTGTAGATACACGCAGATTAGACAAATACTGCTGTAGATACAAGCAGATTAGACACAGATAGCTGTAGATACAAGCAGATTAAACATAGATAGATGTAGATACAAGCAGATTAGACACAGATTGATGTAGACACAAGAAGATTAGACACAGATAGTTGAAGACAAAAGCAGATTAAACACAGATTGATGTAGACACAAGAAGATTAGACACAGATAGCTGTAGACCAAACCAGATTAGACACAGATTGATGTAGACACAAGAAGATTAGACACATATAGCTGTAGACACAAGCAGATTAGACACAGATTGATGTAGACACAAGAGGATTAGACACATATAGCTGTAGACACAAGCAGATTAGACACAGGTTGATGTAGACACAAGAAGATTAGACACAGATAGCTGTAGACACAAGCAGATTAGACACAGATTGATGTAGACACAAGAAGATTAGACACAGATAGCTGTAGACACAAGCAGATTAGACACAGATAGTTGAAGACACAAGCAGATTAGACACAGATTTTTGTAGACACTAGAAGATTAGACACAGATAGCTGTAGACACAAGCAGATTAGACACAGATTGGTGTAGACACAAGAAGATTAGACACAGATAGCTGTGGATACAAGCAGATTAAGACACAGACTGGTGTAGACACAAGAAGATTAGACACAGATAGCTGTAGATACAAGCAGATTAGACACAGACTGGTGTAGACACAAGCAGATTAGACACAGATAGCTGTAGATACAAGCAGATTAGACACAGATTGATGTAGACACAAGAAGATTAGACACAGATAGCTGTAGATACAAGCAGATTAGACACAGATAGTTGAAGACACAAGCAGATTAGACACAGATTGGTGTAGACACTAGAAGATTAGACACAGATAGCTGTAGACACAAGCAGATTAGACACAGATTGATGTAGACACAAGAAGATTAGACACAGATAGCTGTGGATACAAGCAGATTAAGACACAGACTGGTGTAGACACAAGAAGATTAGACACAGATAGCTGTAGATACAAGCAGATTAGACACAGACTGGTGTAGACACAAGACGATTAGACACAAATAGCTGTAGATACAAACAGATTAGACACAGACTGGTGTAGACACAAGAAGATTAGACACAGATAGCTGTAGAAACAAGCAGATTAGACACAGACTGGTGTAGACACAAGAGGGTTAGACACAGATAGCTGTAGATACAAGCAGATTAGACACATATAGGTGTAGGGACAGATAGGTGTAGGCACATACAGAAAAGACAAGATATGTGTAGTTGCAGGTAGATAAGACACAGTTTGTTTTTCGTAGATTATTCGAGTTCATCTGAATGAAGTTCAAAGCACACACCTTGACCTACTTTCGACACCTGCGTGCAAGGTGTGGACTGTGGAAGTCATATCCAAACAAATAACCGTACCGTCATGCTGTGTGATTGCACTATATACAATGTTACAATCTACCTGGTCAGACAGGGACATGGTCAACAAAGTAATAAAGGTGATATCAAATCCATGTCACTCGTGCGAACATTTCTTAAACCCTACACCTACCTACCTACCTACCTACCTACTTACCTATCTGTCTGTCTGTCTACCTACCTATCTGTCTACCAACCTACCTACCTAGCTATCTGCCTACCTACCTACCTACCTATCTGTCTACCAGCCTACCTACCTACCGATCTGCCTACCATCCTACCTACCTATATATATCTATATTTACCTATCTACCTATCTATATATCTGTATATCTATCAGATAGCGCTGATGAAATTCAATACAGAAGCGCCGATACTTACAGCTGACCCGGAGCACGGTATGTCCACGAGACGTTTATTTGACGGACTGCTGTATACTCAGCCAGATTTAGACGGATAAGGGTGCGACAACTTGTTCAACTGCTGCCATGCTCCCTGACTCTCCGCACCTAGCAGAAATATGCTCTCAACCCGCAGAGGCACAGTTCGACTACCCACTCGTGTCCCGCCCGCCGTGCGGCCAGCATTACCAGGTTAAGTGAAGACGGGTCGCCGATAGACCGTGGCATAACAAGATTCGTAGTCAGGCTGAGAAACTAATGTTGACGGTGACCCGGGAGTATGATATTATGTACAAAACGATCCATTTACACACAATACCTGGTCATAACACGATCCAAATACTGTTTATCGTTGTTATTTAACGTTGAACATGGAATAGGCCCAAGCATGTCCTTATTTCTCTGCTTGTATCATACAGTCAATGCACGCACCTGTCGCTCTGTTTGTAGCATACAGTCAATGCCCGTACATGTCTCTGTTTGTAGCACACAGTCAATGCACGTCCTAGTCTCTCTGTTTGTAGCACACAGTCAATGCACGCACCTGTCTCTCTGTTTGTAGCATACAGTCAATGCACGCACCTGTCTCTCTGTTTTTAGCATACAGTCAATACACGTACATGTCTGTTTGTATCATACAGTCAATGCACGTGCATGTCTCTGTCTGTAGCATGCAGTCAATGCACGCACCTGTCTCTCTGTTTGTAGTACACAGTCAATGCACGCACCTGTCCCTCTGTTTGTAGCATACAGTCAATACACGTACATGTCTGTTTGTATCATACAGTCAATGCACGTGCATGTCTCTCTGTATCATACAGTCAATGCACGTACATGTGTCTCTGTTTGTAGCATACAATCAATGCACGTACATGTCTCTCTGTTTGTAGCATACGGTCAATGCACTTACATGTCTGTTTGTATCATACATTCAATGCACGTACATGTCGCTCTGTTAGTAGCATACAGTCAATGCACGTACATGTCGCTCTGTTTGTAGCATCCAGTCAATGCACGTGCATGTCTCTCTATATCATACAGTCAATGCACGTACATGTTTCTGTGTTTGTAGCATACAGTCAATACACGTACATGTCGCTCTGTTTGTAGCATACAGTCAATGCACGTACATGTCGCTCTGTTTATAGCATACAGTCAATGCACATACATGTCGCTCTGTTAGTAGCATACAGTCAATGCACGTACATGTCTCTGTGTTTGTAGCATACAGTCAATGCACGTACATGTCTCTCTGTTTGTAGCATACAGTCAATGCACGTACATGTCTCACTGTTTCTAGCATACATTCAATGCACGTACATGTCTCTGTGCTTGTATCATACAGTCAATGCACGTACATGTCTCTCTGTATCATACATTCAATGTATGTACATGTCTCTGTTTGTAGCATACAGTCAATGCACGTACATGTCTCTCTGTTTGTATCATGCATTCAGTGCAGGTACATGTCTCTCTGTTTGTAGCATACAGTCAATGCTCGTACATGTCTCTGTGTTTATAGCATGCAGTCAATGCACGTACAGGTCTCTCCGTTTGTAGCATACAGTCAATGCACGTACATGTCTCTCTGTTTTGATATGCAGTCAATGCACGTACATGTCTTTATCTCTGTTTTGATATGCAGTCAATGCACTGTTTCTAGCATACATTCAATGCACTACATGTTTGTGCTTGTATCATACAGTCAATGCACGTACATGTCTCTCATCATACATTCAATGTATGTACATGTCTCTGTTTGTAGCATACAGTCAATGCACGTACATGTCTCTCTGTTTGTATCATGCATTCAGTGCAGGTACATGTCTCTCTGTTTGTAGCATACAGTCAATGCTCGTACATGTCTCTGTGTTTCTGTTCAATGCACGTACATGTCGCTCTGTTTGTAGCATACAGTCAATGCACATACATGTCGCTAGTAGCATACAGTCAATGCACGTACATGTCTCTGTGTTTGTAGCATACAGTCAATGCACGTACATGTCTCTCTGTTTGTAGCATACAGTCAATGCACGTACATGTCTCACTGTTTCTAGCATACATTCAATGCACGTACATGTCTCTGTGCTTGTATCATACAGTCAATGCACGTACATGTCTCTCTGTATCATACATTCAATGTATGTACATGTCTCTGTTTGTAGCATACAGTCAATGCACGTACATGTCGCTCTGTTTGTATCATGCATTCAGTGCAGGTACATGTCTCTCTGTTTGTAGCATACAGTCAATGCACGTACATGTCTCTGTGTTTATAGCATGCAGTCAATGCACGTACATGTCTCTCCGTTTGTAGCATACAGTCAATGCACGTACATGTCTCTCTGTTTTTGATATGCAGTCAATGCACGTACATGTCTTTATGTTTGTATCATACAGTCAATGCACGTACATGTCTCTCTGTTTTTGATATGCAGTCAATGCACGCACATGTCTCTGTTTGTGTCATACAGTCAATGCACGTACATGTCTCTCTGTTTGTGTCATACAGTCAATGCACGTACATGTCTCTCTGTTTTTGATATGCAGTCAATGCACGTACATGTCTTTATGTTTGTAGCATACAGTCAATGCACGTACATGTCGCTCTGTTTGTAGCATAAAGTCAATGCACGTACATGTCGCTCTATATCATACAGTCAATGCACGTACATGTCTCTGTGTTTGTTGCATACAGTCAATGCACGTACATGTCGTTCTGTTTGTAGCATACAATCAATGCACGTACATGTCGCTCTGTTTGTAGCATCCAGTCAATGCACGTGCACGTCTCTCTATATCATACAGTCAATGCACGTACATGTTTCTGTGTTTGTAGCATACAGTCAATACACGTACATGTCGCTCTGTTTGTAGCATACAGTCAATGCACGTACATGTCGCTCTGTTTGTAGCATACAGTCAATGCACGTACATGTCTCTGTGTTTGTAGCATACAGTCAATGCACGTACATGTCTCTCTGTTTGTAGCATACAGTCAATGCACGTACATGTCTCTGTGCTCACTGTTTCTATGTCTCTCTCTGTATCATACATTCAATGTATGTACATGTCTCTCTGTTTGTAGCATACAGTCAATGCACGTACATGTCGCTCTGTTTGTATCATGCATTCAGTGCAGGTACATGTCTCTCTGTTTGTAGCATACAGTCAATGCACGTACATGTCTCTGTGTTTATAGCATGCAGTCAATGCACGTACATGTCTCTCCGTTTGTAGCATACAGTCAATGCACGTACATGTCTCTCTGTTTTTGATATGCAGTCAATGCACGTACATGTCTTTATGTTTGTATCATACAGTCAATGCACGTACATGTCTCTCTGTTTTTGATATGCAGTCAATGCACGCACATGTCTCTGTTTGTGTCATACAGTCAATGCACGTACATGTCTCTCTGTTTGTGTCATACAGTTAATGCACGTACATGTCTCTCTGTTTGTATCATACAATCAACGCACCTGAGAACCTGAGAGTGAAGTAAAGGCGATGCTCGATATCGGCGTAGCCGTTCCGCTCTAGTCGTTGTCTCCGCGCTACTGTGGGGAACGAGGTTAGCAGTTTGTCATCACAAGCATATATCACCAGCGGAAATGTGATTACAATAATCGTTTGTCCGCTTCAATACCGAAGGACAATCCTAGAATAGTGGCAACACGCGGCTGGATTGCTTTCTACATATATGCCAGGCTTGGCGCGGGCGGGCGGGCGTCCAGTGTTTGATCAGTGCACGGGCTCGGCTGCTGTAGTAGGTGTTGCGCTGTAGTCGGTGTCACACATCAGCGCATCCTTCCCTGCTTCTCGACTACAGTGGCGGTGGCGGAGACATTACTGTGCAACATACGAACTGTATATAGTTGACGTAAATCTATGTCAACACGCGTGTTTACCCAGACACACAGCCGATCCCTGCATCATGTTAAACACTAGTGTCTGATCTATGCCTGTATCATGTAAAACACTAGTGTCTGATCTATCCCTGCATCATGTAAAACACTAGTGTCTGATCTATCCCTGTATCATGTAAAACATTAGTGTCTGATCTATCCCTGTATAATGTAAAACACTAGTGTCTGATCCATACATGTATCATGTAAAACACTAGTGTCTGATCTATCCCTGTATCATGTAAAACATTAGTGTCTGATCCATGCCTGCATCATGTAAAACTCTAGTGTCTAATCTATGCCTGCATCATGTAAAACATTAGTGTCTGATCTATCCCTGTATCATGTAAAACCCTAGTGTCTGATCCATACATGTATCATGTAAAACACTAGTGTCTGATCTATGCCTGCATCATGTAAAACACTAGCGGCTGGTCTATGCCTGCATCATGTAAAACACTAGTGTCTGATCCATGCCTGCATTATGTAAAACACTAGTGTCTGTCTATCCCTGTATCATGTAAAACATTAGTGTCTGATCTATACCTGTATCATGTAAAACACTAGTGTCTTATCTGTGCCTGCATCATGTAAAACACTAGGGTCTAATCTATGCCTGCATCATGTAAAACATTAGTGTCTGATCTATACCTGTATCATGTAAAACACTAGTGTCTGATCTATGCCTGCATCATGTAAAACACTAGTGTTTGGTCTATCCCTGTATCATGTAAAACACTAGTGTCTGATCTATCCCTGTATCATGTAAAACACTAGTGTCTGATCTATGCCTGCATCATGTAAAACACTAGTGTTTGGTCTATCCCTGTATCATGTAAAACACTAGTGTCTGATCTATCCCTGTATCATGTAAAACACTAGTGTCTGATCTATGCCTGTATCATGTAAGACACTAGTGCCCGATCTATCCCTGTATCATGTAAAACACTAGTGTCTGATCTATCCCTGTATCATGTAAGACACTATTGCCTGATCTATACCTGTATTATGTAAACACTACTGTCTCATCTATGCCTGTATCATGTAAAACAATGAGTGGTATATCACTAATGCCTCTTCTATGCCTGTATCATGTAAAACACCAGTGCCCGATCTATGCCTGCATCATGTAAAACAATGAGTGGTATATCACTAGTGCCTGATCTATGCCTGTATCATGTAAAACAATGAGTGGTATATCACTAATGCCTCTTCTATGCCTGTATCA